AACGAAAAATGATTCTGAATATCAGTCCAATTTTTTTTCTCTTGTGGACAAAGTAACCTGGAAATTATATATATATCACAAGTTGCCAGTTTTTCACATTTATTATGAAAACTACTATTAGGAAAATAAAAAAAAATGATTGCCCCAATACACCATCTAGATTTAAAATGTTACAAGAAAGCATACTATAATATTTATTTTGATGAAAACGAGATTTCTGGCAAAAAAGTTGTTTACAGATACAAAAAAAAAAAACTTGGTATTGTATGTATTATAAACGGTAGGTGCAATCGGTGGATCATCCGTAAATTGTAATTCTAAACGTTATCTACTTTCTAAATATTTGAACGCCCTTCTTTTAATTACATAGGTAGTAGACACTATTTGTTGCTAACCTATTTGTTGGAAATCTTTTGATTATTATAAATTGCAATAATTTGTATCGTTGTGTTCGGAGCTTAAACTATAAATTACCCCATATAACATTGTAGCCGGTCTTTCTAACTTGTATTTATTTTTTTTCTTCCCCCCCCCCCTCCAATCGCATTACATTTTATAACGAATCGAGACGAACCGCGCGAGTACCTGACAGATAATAAATCGGTTACAAAATTAGTTAAGTTTAGTTTTTTTTATGTCATTAAAATATATATATATATATATATATACATGGTTTATCGAAAGGAATCGAATTCAGCTGCAAGGTTCATTGAGGCGGGTTGAAATTAAAACTTTTCGTTAAACAACAGCAACTTTCATTTAACTACGTTCACTCCGAGTTTTTTCTTCTAAATGTATATATACATATTCTTTTTAAATGTTTATAACGCGGACGGTTGAAAATGAAATATCAACAAACTGCGCAGTGCGCGCATTATATTAATTTAATAACGCGAGTCGTGACCATAAACATAAGCGAGGACGCCGAACGTGCCATCTAACCCGCAATATAGCAAAACTGTGCTCCAGCCTCGGTCGTATAAAATTAATTTTACGTGCGAAATAAACGTGCGAATGTTCACTAAATGTTTGTATAGAACAGGGGTTTTTTAAATTTTTATTTGTCGATTTCATAAAAAATTTTTGAAAAATACCTAAAGAAATAAAATAAAATAGTTTTGATAAAATTTAAAAAAAATAAATATCATTATATAAGTTGGTCAGGTATTCTTAAAACACTAACCAGCCATTTGAACCGAATCGTTGGACTAATATAAACAACAGTCTCCAAGTTCTTTAATTTCAACATGCATATTGTAATCGACATTCGAACGAAATGTTTCTTAGTTATTCTACTTTAAATACTAAGGATTAAGGATAATAGTCTTCTACGGGGATTGGATGTCGGCTGTTTCATGTGTATAGATAATTTCTTGTTTTGAATCGTGCAGTTATCATTCTTCAGTATTTAAAGTAGAATAAATCAGACCTTTTTCGTTAAAATTTCTATTAAAATACCACAAATTTTTAGACAAATGATCTGATTGGCAATTCGCATTAAAACATGTGGGTTCTCGTTAGAAAAACTAAAGTTAGTGTTGTTATTTGTCACAGGTTACACCTTAAGTGTTATGGAAATTCTAATTATCTGAAAATATTGCCTTTAAATGCACTTCCAAATTCCAAATATCAGAATTTTAATTTATGCATAATTTAATCGTAACAGTGGGTTGAGTTCTGAATATATGCTTCAAAAATCAGTTTCTATATTATTATAAAAAATTCATTCAGATTTCTGGATAAAAATAATAAATATCCCCGTAAAACCAATATACTCCTCTTTTCGCTCAGAATTTAAAATTAGAAACTTTTTTTAGTGGGTGGGGAGTGCGCATATAGTTGTAAAAACCTCGACTTAAACATTTTCGCATTTATCCGATAAAGGTCCACAGCCTCTGATCTAAACCTACCTACTATAAATATAACACGATCGCAACAGTTGGTAATATAATATTTTTATATTTTCATAATAGCCAGGTAATATTTTAGTCGAGTTTCGGCACACGAAAAAAATATAAAGTAAGCGATAAAATTGTTCGGACGGACTGTGTATTATGATAATATACGCGTCGTATATCATTATAAAATAATGAAATACGGAGGAAATTGAGGGAAAAAATGGCAGACCGACATAATATTTGCGAATAAATAATTGTTATTAAACCATAAATTAGGTATTATCATTATAGGATGTTATATTAACACAACTATAAATATACATCATCGTGTTAAAATATTAAATCGTTTTTTTGATTTACGGTAAATCTAGTGTACCTGTACAAAAAATATCTAAATAACATTGCATTATAGGTATCTATAGTGATGTAAATGTTCATACAAATTATTAAAAAGTTTAAAATTCGATAATTTAACGGACTAAATGGCCGTTCAGTAATTATACTATATTCAACTTGTATTATAAATTCGGGATCTATTTTACTACGATGTGCGTAAACAACTTTACGAACAGAAAACTTGATCCAATAAAAAAATGACAAAAAAACTTCTTTTTTGCATTTTTAATCTAGATGCTGAGGAAGTAAAAAAGTTTTTTATGTCCAACCAGTTTTCATAATAACCGGAAAAACAAAAACGGAAACATGTAATTTAAGATGTTTAAGCTTCAAGTTTTCTACTAGAAATATTATTTCAATAGAAAAAAGCCAAGAGACCTTTTCTGATGCATTTTGTTACTTGTTAGTGTATAATTCGTTCTATGATTTTCCGTGCAGTTTTCTTAATGATTGAACGAAACCAGAAAAAAAACTCAGAAAGACAGGGAAATTCATGGAAATAACGGATTATATTTTTTATAATTTTGTGTTTTTCTTGTAATTCTTGTAATTCAGTTAAAAATTATTTGTAGTTACTTATGATTTTAACAAAAAACTTATATTTGCCTTTTCTAGACGTGATCAGATTTTTACCCCATTTTTGATTTTTGAACTATTTATAGGCATTTGATGTTTATGCATTTTTTAAGTAGAATTTATTTAGTAGGCTATTTATTTACGAGGCCTTGGATAAATTTATTTTTGTGAAACTTTTTTTTTCAGCGTACCACTATTCTCACATAATAATTGTAATAATACCTAACACTTGGCCATGGCCGGAAACACTGTTTGATAAGGCAACGCGCGTGTACGTGTTTTTCCTAAAAATATCGTTAAATTTTTAAAAAAATTATTTTTCTGTTTTACGCCCATTATAATTATGCTACCCTTTTTTATGTGTCCACAAGCGCGAGGCCTTTGAAAGTACGAGTCCCTGGACGTAAGCCCCACTTACCCTACCCTAACGTCAACCCTGTTGGTGGGTACTATGTATATATAATTGTTTAACCGAACAGAAATGCTTAAAAATTGAACAAGGCAAGAAAAAGAAGTGTAATGTAGTAGTTTTCTTTCTATCATAGATTTTATAATTCCATCCTAAATTGCTGAGGAGGCGCTATAGCATTCACCACGAAGTAAAATTTGTATTTAATAAATTATTTGTATCTTACAATGTAGGGAAAAAATAAAAAATAAATAATGACCGGTGATTGGGTTATGGATAAAGATTTCGAACAAGATCGTATTTAGGTAATGAGGTGACAGAGGGCAGTTTGTTATCAATTTTTTATAAGATTTTTTTACTCATGTTTGTTAAAAGGAAGTTGGGAACCACTGTTTTAAAAGAACAAAATTATTAACTGGTTATTTAAACCAAAAATAAATTATAGAGATCTATCTATCTATATTAAAATGAATGTTTGTTTTCGTTTATAAGCACACAATTTAAAAACGGATGGGCCAATTTGACTGATTTTATATTTTGAGTGAATCGAGGTTAGGTATTAGTTTTACAATGATTGTTATTTTTTTTTTTATTTTTTTCTCTATCTGTGAACAACTTTTCTATCAGCTCTGATGCCTTGATTTTCATTTATAGTAGTTTTCTAAACGAAACTCTGACTGGGATGGTAATTTAAGGTCATTTTTTGATTTTTCCAAGAATTTTTATAATAAATGTTCAAACCCAGGAAAGTAAATACAATATAAAACAAATATTATTTAAAAAATATTTAATGCATATGAAATTATTTTACTAAAATATGACATATTTATTGTTTACAAAACAACACTATTAATCGAATTCCGCTCAGAATCGCTTTTAATTAGTGATAGTTAATCGTTGTGTACAGATAAAAATTAAATTTCTCTTCTACCTTTCGAACTTCTCACCTACAACAGTGTCCCACCCATCGTGCGAAGTAAATCCGTATGTTTTTTTTTTGTTTATAATTATCAGGAAAAGAATTTTATCATTTACATTTTAAGAAACTTTTTTGAGAATCCAATGGAAAACTCGTAAATTTGGCTGGTTTTATTTTCAATAATTTTTTTTCATCTCATCTGTATCACCAAAGTAATCCGCAAATCAACAAAAATAAGTCGATAATTGACGTTTAGTTCTGCTGTTACATGTTTCAATAATAACAAAACAATCGATACATAATTGAAAATAAAGATTTGTATGAAAGAAAATTTTCGACAAATCCAGTGGAATAGTTGGAAATTTGTATGATACTTTTGTTTTTATTATTATTATTATTATTTATTTTTTTGTAATGTGTAATCTCCGAAACTACTGATCGAATATTCATGTAGTTCGAGTTGTTCAGGGAAGGTTTACAGCATTTAAAATCCTCGATCTAGTCAGTAGAAGTACAGTTAGTAGATTGAACCTGCAGTATAATTTTGTGCTGGATACAAAATAATAGTTTATAGGTGTTTTAATTGCTTAAAAACCGTATAACTAATTCATATGAGTTTGAAAACGAAATAAAATTGTTTTTAAAATGTATTTTTAAAAACTAAAACGTAACAACGGTTAACTGCAGTGATGGTAACGGGGAATACAAGGGGAAACGATTATATGAGCGGGTTTATAGCTATTAAAATCTTTGATCTTTTTAGTTGAAAAATGTTAGGGGCCCCCAACTAAAACCTTGCACTGTAATATTATGTTGGCTCAGTGGCATACTGGCATTCACACCGTACGTTCCATCTCAACAGTCTCAGGTTAAAGCCTGAACACATTTATAATTTAATATTTTTTTCTTGATTTTTTAATTTCATTATCGTTACGGTATTATTATGAAATGTCATTTTGCAAATTTTTCAGGGCGGTTCAGCGTGGTTCTACGGCTGTTCGCAATCCTACGAAACGAAAATTTGTCCTGTTCTACGAATGACGAAACGACTATGTTCCTATCTATAGTATTTTATTATTGAAATGTAGCAAGTATAATAGCCAATATTATGTGTACTTACCTATAATTGTATTAATTCAACTACAAAAAATAAACCATCAAATTTCATCGAGACGACTCAATGATGATGAACTACTCCAAGAGATGGCGCCAACGTTTACAAATCATGTTGCAGCGGCAATGGACAATACAGAAAGGACTCTCGATCAACTGATCGATTTTTGTTTACCTGCGATCTGAAGTATGATGCTGAGGAAAAGTCTCCATATCCAACCGATGGTGTACACTTGTTTACCGAATTTTAGCGGTTTCAGAGACTCGAGGTTATCATTTTTTTTTAACCCAGGAACACAGTGACGTAGCGAGAAAAAACGGAACGTCTATGCTCTATAGCAGGGGTGATCCGCAGATGATTTATGCATGTCGATCCCCATTTCGTTAGAATTTATTTTTATGTAATTAGTAGATAAATAACAAAATAGCTGATAATTTTTATCTCTAATATAATATTGTCTTTATTTTGTTGTTAATTCACGGAGTAATACCACAACAGAGTTTATCCTGGCAATATGGTATTGACAATAATATTATATTAGTCTCAATAACAGCGTGATGAAAATTTAGTTTTTTATTATGTTTCTGTATTGTTAATAATACCTATTAGGTAATTTATAATTATACATTTTTGTAAGGAAGTCGATCCTCAAAGGGAAAATATATTCTTAGTAGATCTCAAGCGAAAATAGTTCGGCCACCTCTGCTCTACACAGTCGATATACTCCAGCAGTAGTAAGTTCACCGATAGCAAAATGAAAAAAAAAATAAATAATTTCGTCCGCTCTAATGTCGATCCGCACACAATACACGTATCGCATATAGTTTTTCAATTTCGTTGACGTTCCAAAGTTTTTTTTTGTTTTTTTTTTTTACTTGTTCGTTACCGGTGTATCGTCACCTGTGACACCACGGGCCACTTGCCATCGAAGACCCGCGGAAACCGCCTGGCGAGGCGATTAACGATTTCTCCGTTTTGTTTTGGAACACTGCAGCGGCCCGAACAGCAACAACCGCAACAACAATACCTATACGTGTATTATAACGGTATTATCGCGGAGGAAAAACTCCGGGTGAAAATCTCACGAGACACGGGGGCGTACTACGTCGTAAACAAAAGTAGGGAAAACACCCACAACGATAATATTGCTAATCAATTGTACTAGGAAAGGTATAGGGAATGCAGTTGAAATGAAAAAAACGCATTTTACGTACACAACATTTTTTTTTTTTTTTTTTTTTTTTACGTTTTTATTATTTATAATATAATAATATGTTTAGCAGTTATTCGCTATTTATAATTATAATAATAATAATAATAATAATAACTTAATAACTTAATAATTATAATAATAATTTTCATCACTATATAATATTTACGTACCGCAATATAATAATAATATTCATAGTAATAATATATATAGTAACATTAACGATTACATATTATTATTATTATATTATTACGTCGATATAATATCGTAGGTACCACTCTACACACGTGTCAGTTTACATAATTTATAATAATATCATTATTGTAGCAATAATGACAATTTTATAATATTATCGTATGGATGATTTTTTTTTTTTTTTTTTTT